GCCGGCGGCGGCGGCGGGGCGCCCCCTGGAGGCTGCGGGCCGCCTGGCCTGACTAGGCGTGTGACCGCGGGCCCAAACCGCGACCGTGACCTTGGCCCCCAGACCTGAGCACCACAGGACCAGCGACCCAATAGGACCCTAGGCCCAGACCCTGACCACAAAGTTAGATTTCCAACTCCAGGCGGGAGTCTACAGTCGGGCTGCAGCTCTGACCCCAGGCTGGACTCATGACACTGACCACCACCCCAGACTCAGACTTCAACACGTGATTTCAGGGACTTCAGTCTCAGACCCTGACTAGCCCCAAACTGTCTAATCCTGGATTCAGCCCATAACCTGGCCCCAGACGTAGATAACAATCCTGACTCCAGATTCCAAACAGGAACCCCAGACCCAGACCATGGGCCATGACCTTGAACACTGACTGCAACCTGAGATGACAACCCTAGGCCCCTGACCCCACATGCAGACCGTGACGCTTACCTTAATAAGACACCGAGATCCAGACTTTGGACCATGTTCCAAGTCCAAACCCATACCACTACCATGACCCCAGTCCCTGGACTTGAGGTCATGGCCCAGACCTGGACTTGGGCCATCAAAGCTGGACCAGAGCCCAAGACCCAATACCCAGGATTCTGGACACACACGTAGGACCAGGACATCCATCTCGGGACCCAGACTGGACCCGGAACCCTTTACAGGTCACCAGAACCCAGGACCGGGCACTGGGCAACCCCTACCAGAAATCCGATTTTCTCTAGCCTCAGTCCTGGCTTCAGGACCCCTGCCCAGGGTCACAGACCCTGCACTCAACCCACCCACTCAGGACAAGGGCCCAGCACCCTTCCCTGAACTCCACCCCCTCCAGAGGCTGCTGTTCATTCATGATGAGTCTGGAACGTGGGATCCGACAGGGTGCAGGGGTCTCGGCACTGCCTGGCAAAGGAAACCCACCCTGGCCAGGACAGGAGGATGGAGCCTACCCCGGGGTGGGAGGAAGGGGAGCTGTGTTTCTCAGGGTCCACCCCCATCTCAGCAGGCCCTCTTTCAGAGGCGCTCTGGCTTTCTAAGATGACAGGCCAGGGCATGCGGAACTCCATTCTCACACCGGGTCAGCAACCAGGACCCTTCTGGAAAGCAGGCCCCTCCTCCCTGTGAATTTCTCAGGGAAAGTGGAGGCCGCAGGCTACCTTCACAACTCAGCCCCCACAGAGCCTAGAACCAGAGCACCTCAGAGAGGGCCAGGTCCCCTTCTCAGTGGGTGGTTCCTCCATACTCAGATTCCCAAGCCAGGACCCCAGGCGTCACCCCTGACTTCTTCCACCATCTTTTTTTTTAATCACATGCCCTCCCATGTGGCCCCTGAGAATCTTGAACCCGTTCTTGTCCCAGGATCTCCATGACTGCTCCCCAGTGCAGGCCTTGACCAGAGAGGCCTCTCCAAACCTAGATCTGACAGGGAACCACCTGCTTAGTAACCAGAAGTGTCTTTTGGGGCCTTCTGGGGCTGCTGAGACTCGGGGAGCCCAAGGAAGGTTCCAGACCCCCCATATCACTTTGACTGAAGCAGATCAGGTTGATAAACTCTTAAACCTGCAAGTCAAGATCTTGGGTGACTGGGCCCAGCTCCCTTCTCCACCATCCTCTGCTCCTGGGGTGCCCCCCCCACTTCTCACCTCGGCGCCATTGCTCTTCCCTGTGCTCTCGGCCTTGGCTGACTCCTTGCCGTCCCTGAACCCGTGACCCGAGCTGCATACATCTCTGACTGCACTCACTACCTGTCGTTTTTGTTGTTGGGTGCCGTGGAGTCCAGTTCAACTCGCAGGGACCTCATTGAGAGAGTAGAACTGCCCCATAGCATTTCCTGGGCCGTAATTTCTATGGAAGCAGACCACAAGGGCTCTCTCCTGCAGAGCTGCCGTGTGAGTTCCAACTGCATTTCAGTTAGCAGCTGAGTGCTTAACCATTGTGCCACCAGGGCTCCTTCATTATCACTTACGAGACCCTGTTTTCTTGACTTGAAAGCATTGTGGGCAAGAGACACCAGTCCAAGGTTTTGATGGTGGGGGTAGGCTTTATGAAATGTTTGCATCAGTTGCAAAATGCATCCTGATAGTGTGGATGCTCTGAACTTAGGTACCAGGTTAACAGACAGGACATCTATTGATACTCGTTGACTAAACGAGCTCCCTATTGAAGGTGACAGATGGAATTAGGGGAGAACAGGGCCAGGGACGCACGAGAAAGCTAATAGGAGGCTCTGAACCCCCTCCCCTGACTCTTGGGGACTGTGAGGATAGCCTTGAGCTGGCCTGGGTTTTCTGGGGGCGCCCCTACTTAAAAATTCCTTCCTGATGAACTTGTCAGACCAGGGGCTGGGCCTGGGTTCCAGGAGGTGGCCCTGCCTTCCGCCACTACCTGAGAACTCAAGCCAGGCAACAGCCCTTCCTGCCCACCCACAGCCCAACTCACAGCCCAGGTCAGGTCAGAAGCCAGGGCCCCTGGAGGGAGCTTGTCCCCTGGGGTACGCCTCAGTGAGTCCCGAGGCCTAGAAGAGTGGTTCCTGGAAGCCTGGGTTAGGAAGAAGGTGGTGCCAATCCCTGGGCCCAGGGAGGCTGTTTGTTTGGAATGGTGCTGCCCTCTGGTGGTTGTAGGAAGGTCAGTTGCTACGCTTGCTTTATCATACAGGTTTTAGGCTCTCAAAAACCTAGTGGTTGCCCAGATAGTCAGTGCCAGGCTCAGGCTGGGATGCGAGGGGTGCACAGAGGAGCAGAGCCCCATCCCCACCCAGCTGGCAGACTCGTAGACACATGGTTACCTGGCATCTGCACGGATGACTAATAGGTGTTGCCAACTTGACGCATCCCACACTGGGCTCTGGCTCCCGCCGCCCAGCTCCTGCCCACCCTGCTCCTCCCGCCTCCCCATCTCGGTCATGGCTCCTCTGTCTTCCAGAATCCCCGGAACCATCCCGATTCCACTCTTCCTTCATCTCCTGCCTCATCCCACATACGCGTACGCTGTCATCCAGCCTGTCCTGTCGACTACCTGGTGTGTCTGTCTCCAAAACACGCCCCCAGATCATTCCCATGTGCCCATGAGACCTGGGTCTGAGGGAATCCCCATCACCTCCCACCCGGATGCTCGCATGACCTCCCTGCAGGTCTTTCTCCTCTCCCCTGGCCTTCCCAGCCACCCCCATGCGACAGTCAGCCAGAGTTTTTACTAACTGCAGCCAAAGCAGCCTCCCGTGGCTGGCCCCAAATAGGGTGAAGCCCACCCTCCTTCCCGGAGACTAAGAGTGAAGTGGCTTAACCCCCGGCCATATCTCTAACTCTTCCCTACTTCCTCTAGTTCTCTGGCCTCTGACCTCCCTGGTCTTCCTTCTGTCCCTAGAATAAGTCAAGTTCAAGTCCACCTCTGGGACCTTGCCCCTATGGCTCCTGGTGCTCAAAAGCCCTTCCTTTCTCTGGTAGCGTAGTGCCTAAGGCATTTGACTGCTAACCAGAAGGCTGGTGGTTCAAATCCCCCAGCCACTCCACGGAAGGAAGGTTGGGCAATCTACTTCCGTAGTGACACTGCCTCGGAAACCCGAGGAGGGGGTCGCTGTGAGTCAGAATCGACTCGACGGCAGCGTGTGTTGTCTCCCTTCCGGCGTGGTGGGCTCCTGCTTGATGCTCTCCCTCGGAGTTCCTTTCTGTGGTGGCCACCACTGCACCCTTCCCACCCAGTGTGGCATCTGGCACAAGAGTAGGGCCACAAAAAGAACAGGACTCATTGTTGGCCCCGTACAATAAGGAAGAAGACCCTTAAACATACACCTGCAGTTAACGAGGCAAGAGTTATAATGTGAGGAGGTGGGGCACTGAGGAGGAAGCAGTGGTCATGGGAAGACCAGGGAAGAACCAATCAAAGTCTTGCGGTGAGTGTATGCATGAATGAGGTCAAGAGTAAAGAGTGGCATGCACCAAGGCCCAGGAGGGTGTGTTCTCATCTGCTGGGGCCTCATGTCTATCTCTCTGTCCTTGTCCTGGGCTTTGAAGATCTGAGAGGGTGAGCTTGGGGTGTGTCTCTGAGCTTGGCATGTCATCTCTAGAAGGAAGACATCTGCCCCCTAAGGGTGGAGTGTGCACAGTGACATACAATGAACATAGACAGCTGGGTGACAGGGTGGACAGGGCTGACTCGGGGGCCACCGTCTCGCTTTCGTGACCAAGTCTCTCTGAGCAAATTATTTAATGTCCGTGACTCAGTTTCTCATCTGTAAAATGGGGGTGTGCTGGACGGACCAGGAGAAAGGCCTGCCCAACGTGGACTGCCACCTGCTACCTCTCACTCACTCTCCCTCACTCATGCCATTTATGAGCACACAGGCAGACCTCGGAGAGATATTGCGGGGTCCACTCCAGACCACCACAATAAAGGGACTATCGCACTCAAGCAGGTCACACGAAGTTTTTGGTCTCCCAGGGCACATGAAAGTTATCTTCGCCGTCTATTATAGTCTACTAACTGTGCGACTGCACTAAAAAAAAGTATGAAATATTGTGAGAATGACCAAAAGGTGACGCAGAGACACGAAGTGAGCACAGGCTTGTTGGAGAAACGGCCGCGATGGACTTGCCACAAACCTTCAATTTGAACAAACGC